CGTGGATGTAAATCTTTTTGGATTAAGAAAAGAAAACACCAGAAAACTTAAATTTAATCAAGGTGTGTGACGTTCATTTCTTTCAACCTTACCGTGCTTCTGGGATTTAAATGTAGGCCCTATGGCTTCAGCAAAAGACACATTAAATTTGTTGGCTACATTTGTAATCAGAAATTATGTGTATTTTGACTTTTTCAACCATGGGTCTTTTAGAGTAAATCGGTTGAATGTCTTGAGTAGCACATTAACCAGCAGCACCATGCTAACTTCTGTCACCTGTTAAATCTGGGTGTGTGAGTCAGGAAGGGTCACAGTGACAACAATGAAAGTGAAAGGTATTAAAATGTAAAAATATGTGATTTCATGCTTTGCTGTTTCATAGTGTCTATTGTGTTTGTTGCTCTTTCTTATTGTTAATGATTCTGTTTTATCTTCAATCTTTTCCAATAAGAGCATTTCTAAGGTAAGTTGGGTTAAGTCCTGAGATGTTTCTCTGAGACAATAGGATTATGGTCCTCATAATCTCAGGAAGGACTCCAATGATACTCGATGCCAGTGACGCTGCTGGTTTACTAGATAAGTAGTCAGAAGTTGGGTGGATATAACTTATTATCTCATATAATCCAGCTGAGCTGAAGATTAATGCTGGTGCATATAGAGAAAAATCCCCTCTGATTGGTAATTGGAAACCATGAAAGAGGTTCGCTAATTTTAGCTACATGCTTAAAACAACGCAAGATCCTGCCTACTACCAGCTAAAATCCGGAATATCCTATGATAAAATTTTCTACCCACATTTCGCATCAGAGGGCGCAAATGATAAATCTGAAGTGTTGTTTCGCAGATGTACGTTTTTTGTTTCCGATTAAATTAAGTTATGCGTGGTTAATCGATTGTCTTCGTCCCTGGAAGGCAGCTCTGCTTAAATCCTGATTATACAAATATTTTAGCTCTTGGTGATTTTCAGAGTGAGTTGTTTGTTTGGCAGGCTGTCACCTTACAGGGGCTTCTGTTGCACTTGCTGAGGGTGATGCTGGACCTGTAGATCCAGCAAACAGAAAACGACACCACTGCTGGGTCCACGGAGCACTGACCTTTCTGTTAACTGGGACTGTTTGACTTTCTCCTAGAATTATGTCTGAAGTTCTTTTCTCAGAAGAGAACTATAATCCAGAACAAAAATTAATTACCGTAGGAAAAGCACGGCAATGATTTATAGGCATTACAAAACACAATCATTCCCTTGAACAAATGGGTTGTGAATTCCAAACGTTTTATTGCTGAAAAAATGATTACTGTTGTAATCTCAAAGACATTATTTCCCTGACTAACTGACTTTTCTCAGTCTTCCAGCCTTTGTTCTGAGTATAACTGCAAAGAAAAGCATACCAAATATTTCACTTATACATTGCCTACTTGACAGTAAAATACTACAAGACAGAAGACAGCTATGAAACAGGGGATTTGTTAGTATATCAAAAAGATTCCAATCCAGACTTATGAGCCTCCAAGATATATCAGCCACATAAGTGTGTTCAAGCCACGGAATATTTTCATTTAAATCATGCGCTGGTAGCACGATAGGAGACAGTAAGTGTTTTCGTGGGTTTGGGCCAAGTGGAGGCAGCAGAGACCCGGATCAGAACCGTCCTCATTTATCCATCATATCCTTATAACCAGGCTTTTATAAGATCTTTTAATAATAATGAGACTCTTATGTTCTTATGTTCTTATGAGACTTTTTCTGAATCACATATTTGCAAAATTATTCCATCCATCTTCTGAAACCACTTATCCAATTCAGGGTCCAGACCCAATCCCAGAGACTACAGGTGCAAGGCAGGGAACAACCCAGGATGGGGCACTAACCCATCGCTCACTCACACACATACCTATGGGCAATTCTGTAGCTCCAATCAGCCTTGCCATGTTTTTGGACTGGGGGGGGGGGTAGAGAGAGAGACCAGAGAACCTGGAGGAAAACCCACAATGACATGGTGAGAACATGCAAACTCCACACACATGGAGCCATGGAAGAGACTAGAACCCAGTTCCCAGTGGAATGAAGTGACAGTGCTAACCACTGCACCACCATGCCCCCCCACAAAATTATTCACAGGGTAAAAATAATTTTCTTTCAGGACTGATGCAAGCATATAGCTAAGCTCTTTCTGTAATAAAGTTTAGCTTAGTAGGGAACTTTTTTCCACCAGCTATGGGTTGGGTACAAGAGAGAATCCAGCCACTGCTTTAGCTGTGATGATGTTAGTTATCACACATTTTCCTTGTTCAATCACTTGCTCCTGCTTAAGCTGTCCCAAAGGGTCCAAAATGACAGTTTCAAAGTGTTCGTAAAATTTGGAATCTATTTTTAAAACAGCAAATAATTAGGTCTGTGCTGAAAATCCTTGGTGATTCGCATACAAATCTCAGTTTTTTGAGGGGCAGGTAAGATAAAGCTTTCGCACAGTCTTGTCTGTGACAGACACGCGCGCATCTCAGATGAGACACGAGCTCCGCTCTGTAGCTTTTAACTCCAGGTCCGTTCTAAGGCTATTAGTCTTATTCTTGGCAATCGTCCTCCTAAACAGAAACGGTGCACTTACTCAAAAACGGAGTGTGATAGGAGATGACAGGAAGTCCTTCTGCTGCATTTCTGGGTCTGTTTTTATTGTCTTTTTTATAAGCTTAATGGCCAGTTTCTTTGGCAGACCCGCTTGCTGATGTTAGTCTACTACTCCAGACAGCCAATCTTGTGGCTGAAACTGAAAACGTGCGATACACAGACAGCGGCGTCTCTGCGGCCACTAACACCTCATTAATGATAGTGGTCAGAGAATAACGGTTATTAGTTTATATTATAAACAACAGCAGCTGAAAATTACTCATAACGGCAAGAGTGCTCTTATATAAGTTTAAGTATATAAATATGATTGCACTTGTATATGGGAGAGTGTATAGCGCTGAAGAGACGGAATGGCTTCTGGATGGATATCTAAAGTTTGCCACCTTCCATGACACACGTTCATCTCAACTCTCACTGCTCCTTCACTGAATTTAATCACAATTCTCACGAACAGAATTGCCTGTTATTACCTCTTGGGCGCTAAATTTGATTCGGTTCCTTCCATCCCGTTTTTTTTCCGAGGCTCGACCGACACAACTGATTTAAAGGTGTTAGGAAAGGAGAAAGGGGAAGTGTTATTTTTAATCTTTTAATGCTTCGTGGCAAGTGTTGAGAGGGTAATTGGTCATTGAAAGGGTCGATACTATAATCTCGCCGTCAGGGGATTTGTCACTTTAACATCTGAACCATGATTTCGGCCACTTGCATGAAGGATATCCCACCTCTGGAGAAGGAGTATTCACGGAAGAGAACAGGAAATGCTTCACAAGCTCCGTCGCGCGCTTCCAAATCCTTTTAGCGCGCGTCGGAATCTCATTGTTGTTCCATGCCTCTCGTGAAAAACACACCGGATGCAGACATAACAAAGGAGCATGAGGGTTTATGTAAAGTCGACCTAGTTGGGATCATGATGAGTCAATGGGTAGCACCGTAGTGTCACGTTCTCATGGTTGTATGTTCAAGTCCTGTCATCTGCTCTATGTCTAAATCATGCGTGTTCTCCTGTGTTTACATGACGTGGTTTGGTGACTGTCTCCAGGTTTCTCTGATTCTGTACTGGGTACGTGATTCGGCGATGGATGGATGCATCTTATTGGGACCTAAGTGAAAAAATATTCTCTTTCTAGTAGTGATTTAGTGTGATGCCTATAGGCGTTATAGTTTTTTGAAAATAAAAATGGGCTTGGGTTTGCTTGATTAAATAAATTATATAAAGTTTATGATACTTAAATTTAGTTACAGGAGAATGTTGTGGAAGGTTGCACTACTTCATGCACTTCATCTCAAAGCAAAGTGAATAAACATGGATGCAGATAAGGACCTCTGGACAATGGGTGGGTAGTTAGGGAATCAGATAGTGAGATGGGTGTATTGACGAGTGAAGGAACATCAGTGCCTTGTGGGGATCCGTTCTGTACTCAGAAGAACCAAAATGACAGCGCGCTCTTAAGATGCGGTGACGCACTGCATGCCCTCCTTGTCTGGCTCCTATGCTTAATCCTCTAAGCAATTTCACTCTTTCTTCGGGGGAAAAGGGGATTAAGTTTTCTCTTGCAGACTCACAAAGGAACATGCGCTCGCTTGTCGGGCCCTAGATAACATAATGTTACGATTTTAGGCTAATGACACATCTGGAGACCATTTTTAGGTTCCGATGCACATTAACGCGCATTGTTATCCATTCCGCCATAATTAATATAAATCAAGTCTATATTTACGGCGATGATAATTGGAAATCAGCAGCGATCTGACTGAATGTTGTCTGAGTGTGTGCAACTCATGAAGCCATTAGACAATGTTCCTCGACGCACAACTCAAACCGCTAAGGCCTCCCTCACAGATAAATAAATACGGAATATACAAATAAATGCACAATTTGAAAGTCGTAAACAAATAGACATGATTTGTATTGCCGCCTTTCAGACCATTCCACGGCAAATACGATGTTCGATGAAACTCATGAAAAAGATGTTCCATGTTAAATCTAAAGAAAACAACCCATAATATATTTAAACTCACTGTTAATTTAATTTAAACGTTTTATTTAAAAATTGTATAGTATGCGATTGTATTATTCAGTAGTTCACCACAGTTATCTAATTTATGCTTCTTTGAAGACTCGAATTCCGATTTCATTCCAAAGAATGTTAATGCTTCTCCGTCGTCTGGATCCCATGCAGTTCACCATCTTTCATTCTACTTAATCACTTTGGAGTTGTCGCATTAAATGGGAGATATTTTAACCTGTTTGAAATCCGTAAAAAAGCGAATCACATTTATTGTAAATGTTGCTTAAATGGGCGATGACGGCTAATTCTGTGACGCGGCTTTGCGGAACCTCGATAAGAAAATTGCGCTCGCTGGCGCGTGAGCGGACGCCCCCTCCCCACTGCCATCGCGGTATAAAAGTGCAGGAATGGACGGTACCTGTCACAATTCTAGACTGGGGAAACCGAGAAACTCTGGACTACTGATTAAGACCTCTCAGCCCAACAATCGCACGTAAGTAAAGCAATTGTTAATCTAGCAGGTATGTGTGCTTGCCAACTGTAAATACGACCAGTTAGGTACCATAAATGAAGTACTTAAATCTTACGAAAGTAATCGAATACCCTAAATGAATCTGGTATAGGCCAACGTTTTATTTTGTTAGTCGGAACTTTTAAACAAGCAAGCAGGGATGAACAAATAAATAGTAACAAGTAAGCTAAATTAAATTAATAAAGAGGCTGATGGGTCTTCGATTATACAGCCACGTGAATTTGTTACATAAACTCAAAAGCGAGATGCTTTGAATTGAGACTCTTCCTTTTTCACCAGTTCCGTGTTCAGTGACTCGGAGAGGATGCGTCCTAATCTCGGCATCTGGGTAGGGATGACTGCTTTAGTCATATGCACGTTGATATGTTTGGGTACACTGGCGGACGCCTACCCCTCCAAGCCCAACAACCCGGGAGAGGACGCCCCAGCGGAGGAGCTCGCCAAGTACTACTCTGCGCTGAGGCATTATATCAACCTAATAACGCGACAGAGGCGAGTGTCGGCTCGTGATTGTGCTTCGGTGTAACGAGCGATGGCTTTAAAGAGTATTTTCTACCGAGTATTTAATTTGCAAGTATTCTGAGTAGCCTACTTCATTTCCATTTTTAAAGAACGTTGTCAAAACGAGGTAATTAATGCAAAGATACCGTGAAATGATGCAAACAATTGAAAAACATTTGCAACCATTGCAAACGGGAACTAATACTTGTAGAGTTTAATGGAAAAATAAAGCTATGTGCATATGTATCTTCATTTTTAAATTAATATTTTGAACGTTTCAAAAGTTGTAAAAGATCTAAATAACTTTAATACTAGAGAAGACAAAAATTTTCACTAGAACAAAATCCATCTGAAAGTGTGTATAGAACCGAGCTCGGTTTCCTTGAGAAAAAGTTGTCTTTTGATCAAAGCGAGTTCTGAAGACAGCTGACTCCTTCTGCCCGCCGCGCAGGTATGGGAAACGCTCCGGCCCTGACACGCTCTTCTCGGACAGGCTTCTGAGGGAAAACACGGACAGCAGCCCTCAGTTCAGGTGATGACCTCGGGGCTCCGCCTGAAACGCACACAGCGTTGAACAGCATCACATAAAGTGACGTACATCGGCGGTTAAGGAATATCGGAATACAATTACTGTGAGAGAGCAGGACCGGTTTCTGAAGAGGGACAATGACTCGTATAGCAGTAAGATTCAAGGTGAGGTATTCAGGGTCCAAGTGGGGTACACAGAAAGACAGGTAGGATACAATATAACACTTTGTATGGAGTCTTTAAGAATGAACATCATAGGATCGACACCCCCTGTATCGGCAGCACCCCCCCCCTCCGCCCGCTCGGAAAACGTTATCGTCACCACGATAATGGTGTCACTGTCGACAGAAGAGGACCATGGCTCTTTGGTGCTGATGCAATTTGGACGACTGGTGAACTGTTCATAATTTTAATATTTCTGGTCGTTAAACCATCGCACTCTCGTAGGCGTTTGTGTTTATTTGCGAATACCCATTGTGTATATGGGTATTAATGCTTATATTCCCCCCTGGATGTTACACAATTTTTTCTTTCCGGATGTCAATTTTGTTCTGGTCGCTGCATGTTTGATTGTGCTGTCAATGTAGCCATGTTTACTTAACGGGATGCGCGCCCATGTTGCGCGTCCCTGTAAACGGATGTCCTATTATACGAACATACAGCAGGATTGGTCCGAAACCAATTTCCACCAGCTCCGTACTGTGGCAATTAAAGATTCTATATTATCCTTTCTATTCTATTCTATTCTATTCTAGCTGAGTAATATAGTCATGAATGATGAGAGGTGTTGAACAAATAGTAGTATGTATCAGTAGGACCGTAAGTTAGGGATAAGAAACCTTTACACCTCATTTCCTATAACGGATTATGTATATATCATAATTGAGAAGTTCTGATTAAACTGAGAGCTTAACTATTCACCTGTCCATCTCTCTTTCCAGGTACGAGGAGCCGCCAATGTGGTGATGTCAGAGATGTATTTTTGTCCTGCTCCATGCCTCCTTTTACCAACATGGCCACCGAATTGCTGCACAGATGTGATCCTACTCCATTGTCTCGAACACCCCGCCGCTGCACCTCGTCCCGCGAACGTGACTGACGTCATCATAGCCGTCATCATAGCCGTCACGCGGAGGGTCCTCATGGATGGTCATGGCTGCATGCAAATACCACCCAATTGTCTAGCATATTCCATAAACTCTTATTTAATGCTATCATGAAACTCACAAGGGAAAATCGTTGTACAGTGAAATCGTGTTAATACTCGTTGTTCAAAAATAAACTGGTTTGTTGATTGTAGCATTCACTGTATTCTTTGTGCAGTCTACATCTGTGTCATGAAAAGAAACTTGGTTTTAAGTGACCGTTTTAAGTGTGTGGGGATGAAATGACATTTTCACTTTGCTATTTTCCTCGTGTAACTTCTTGCAAGCATGAAGACTCAATAACAAGACAAGATAATAAGATATGTTTTATGGAATGGTAATAATTAATTACAGGAAATTCTTAAAATGACTAAATATATTGTGCTTTAGCTTTAGTAACATGGACTCATATAAAAAGATGTATAAACTGAATTACATTTTACATTAGAATGAGAATCCTTAAGGTGCACTTTCCTCATTGGGCAGTCTACAGTAAATAAAGTGTGCTAAAGACATCACCAGCCAATCGGATTCATGCATAACGTCTTAAAATGCCTATGAAAGTGATGTACATTAAGATTCGAGAACACGATGAGCATGACGATTCAAAGCTGTCCTATGGTAATCTGCAACTGTAAAAAAAACACCCAGCACCCATTTAGTGAAGACAGAAGCTTGTTTCATAATGGTTACTGATAAATTTTCAATAATTTAATGTCGGGTTGACATACTCTAGTGGCCAAAATTGTTCAAACACCTAGCATTTCTGGCATTAGGCTTTATATACGTACGATATTGGCAGTAATGTTTATAAACAAGCAAAGAATGTTTACAAATACCATACACTGGACGATTAAATAAGTAACTGGAGCAACAGTTGAATGCAATCTTTAAAAATATGTAGTCTCCACAATTTTGGCCACTAGTGTATGTCTGGAGAAGTCTAAATTTATATTTCCCGAATCACATGTAGGAAAATCATTAGTATATTCGTTTACAATTATATCCAGCCCTTATAGGCTGTTTATAATGAAAGAGTTGGTGGACCATTACATGCTCCGAAAACATCCGTGTGCTTTGTTGCTGCGACCCGTAACTGTAACCATTACTTTTTTTTTAAGTCAATCTTCCCATTAAATGTCCATAAAGCCTAATTACGTACCCACAAAACATGTCAGCATTATTCAGAAACTGTGACGTATTATTTGTCTGGTACGGATTTTCAGTATCAGAAAAATACACCCTGTTGGTAATGTTCAGCCTGCAATCCTCCGTCAGAGAAGCATTGTGATTAATTTAAAAAGATCCCGTGTCTATAGTTATCTAAGCCGCAGTAATAGTTGAGAAATCACAATGTGAAAGTGACGTGCGCATGAAGTGCGTTCGCCGTCAGTATGTTGTATTGTAATGGCTCTCTGGCGCCCCCCAGTTGTTAGACGTATTAAGTAGCACAAAAGAGGCGCTTGTAAACGAATTAACGGCGTGTCGATATTCCGACAGGTCTTTCTACCTTTTCTTTGTTGTAAAACGTAAAAATATCAACCAAACATTTTTTTAATAAATGGCATTTACTACATCAGGTAGCCTAAATACTCAAAACGACAGAACCAAAATATTTCAATAATGAAATTATGATGAAAATAATGAAAATAAATATTGTTTAATGTTTTGGTTTACATGTGTCAACATTGTATCTGAGCAATTCTTCATCAAAATTACACATCTTCTCAGAATTTTATTTAGCAGAAAGCCATTTAATATAAATAGCAAGTTTAATAATTAAACCCTATTCATTTTGAAACATAATAATGATTTATGATATTTTCCGCATGCTAAAAACCTCGCAGGTCTAACCTGCAGCCCACGACAGGTTTATCTATTTGTTAAGGCGCACCGTAGTAATTTGCGATTGGTGTTATCAGCAAAGTGAAACCTAGCCTCCTAATAAATATTTTCCCCCAGTTTAGATAGAAGTTCAACCCCTACATTTTCGTTGTTTTTAAAGATGACAAACTTATGACGTCACTAACAAACTGAGGTCGGGTACATAACAGAGTAGTATGTTTATTTCTGTTACTCGTTCAGGTATACACACCGCTTCAAATTAGATTACTTGTCATGTTTTGACATTTGTGGTCGTAATTGAAAGCTCTCCGCTGACAGCTATAGCCGACAGCCTTGACATAGCACAGCTTGGGATCTGAACCAGAAATCTCCATATTTCGACTTAACCTTTTCAACAACACTACATGCTGTCCTGCAGGTGTTTACAGTACATGCTAAATAAACGCACTGAACAAACTTTAAAATCTTTCTAATAGATTCGTACATACATGAAAACTGTTATTATAGCCAGAATGCATGCATTAATCGAATCAAATAAATCTACTTAGGGGCCCAGATAGCACAACATCCCCCCCACACAGTGTGTCCCCGGTACCAGGAATACAACAGCGGCATATGGGAAAAGTACTGCGACTCTTCCGCCATATTTACGCGATATCATCCGAACGAGGATGGAACTAACGGAGAGCAACATCGAATCGCAGCAATGCTAAATTTTCTTCACTCGTCCGGATCAACGATTTTTAAAACAAATATATCGAAACGACTTGGATTTAATTGCAAGTAAGTGGGTTGCAAGGAAATCAAGGCATTTGAGTCAGAGTCGCACAGAAAATAGCAGCTGTATGTTTATATGCATAATTGCAGCATATGCGTCTTATCTTTCCTATTAAGGGACAAATTCAATGGACCAATTCAGTATAATTCAATGAAAAGTCTTACAAATAACTAAATGCAAATCAAAGTGTTTCAAGGCTCAGTTATATTAAAGCCATGAAACACAGGCTTTAGTCTCGACGGAAAGTAACACACTATATTTTCGTCGAATGTCGAGACTTCCAGCACCGAGACTTGGGAACAGTGAAGCACTTAATTGTGAAGCTTAATTAGGCGGCGTATCATATACCGATAGTAAGATGATAGATTTTTCCAAGTTTAATGATAACAATCACTGTTGTTTCTTAAATATATATTGTTGTGCCTTTTCAATAAAGTGCTTTAAATCTATCAATTTGTGGTTATTCGAAGAGTAATTTACAGAGCCATTAAGTCTTAAAGAATTAAGTAACTGGACCATAGATTGAATATATATTTATTCATAATATGTGTTGTTTTACCTAGATAAATCCAGCTAACCAAGTCGCAGTAAAATAAAATAACATTTTATTGGAATTAAGTTTCTCTTAAAGTACTTTTGGTTTGTAACTCGTAGTAGACATGACACCTTCGTTAGCATTGCTAATATAATACAAAGCTCATAGTTTCTTTTATTGGCTAAATGCTGCCCTCTTGTGGTGATTCTCTTCTGTGAGCCACAGTGCACCCCAGCAATTTAAATAGCAAATGAAAAGTTTATTTAATACAAGGGCTTTTTCTAACCTAAGATTAAACCAATTACAAAGACAAGCGACAAAAAGGAAGATGGAAAGGTCTGGGTAGGGTCAATATGGGTTAAAAACAAAAAGTAAAAAACGAAAATAAAAAAACAGCGGTAACAATAATGATAAAGTAAAGAAGACTTTGTAAATTCAAAAACATTTTATATCCCGCACTGACGGTTTCAGGTTCCCTCTGCTTGTTTTGTAGAAGATGAGAGGCTTAAACTAAATTAACCAGACAGTCAATTAGGCTTACGCGTAGCACACAGCAGTAAAAAGGATTAAAGTTCACTGCCCGAATCCCATTAAATTTCTCGCCTAATGGACTACGCCCATCGGTGTAAGCGTAAAATAAGTTGTGTAACATTTAAATTCCAGTCTTTGGGAGTGTAGTGTCCTACAAAGGAATTTATGTGAGACGAGAAAAACACATCAGACATGACAAACAAAACAGGTCAGGCGATATTTCCAAGTTGAGCTGCAGGCTACTTGGTTACAATGTCAAGGATTAAATGTAAAAAAACACAGTCGCAAAATATCCACATCCATAAACAGAATCTTAAATCGTTTCTCGGTCGTAATCGATTCTAAACCAATTTTTAGATATACCCCGGGCTCCAAAGAATAATTTCGGTTAATAATCGTAGGACTGCACTCTAATGAAGGAGGAGTCAAAGCTACGGCGCTCAGCTCCGGTTGATGTTTGCCCGGAAACGTCACCGAGGGGCAAGACCGGGGAGCGTGATCGGCGTACCGTGCGCGGGGAGTTAACTGCGGGATCGCGGCCAGGGAAGAGATGGATCTATAACCAGACTGGAGAGAATAAATTACAGCCAAGACACTAGGTAAGTCGTTAGACTTGCCGTCGTATGAATCTGTATGCTAGTTTTAATTACATTTTAATTCATTTCAAGTAAATATTTGCTTTCAGAGAAGGACACATTTGCAATAAGTAGAACGCGCATTCCTTGTTCTGTATGAGAGTGCAGGTATAGACAAGATTGATTGAAAGCGATGGTCCCCTCTGCGCGCTAAATCCCCCGTTTTTACCCCCTACCGGAGCTGTTTTCTTTATAAAAGTGACTCCCACGCGTCGACGGCGCATGAATGGGTAGCGAACATCGCCGCACGTGTAGCGTAAAGTCAGTAATGATGCCCAGGGGGGCGGTGGGCGACCCGCGCCGTCACACGCGCCGGGGACCCCGCGCTGTCATGCCAGGACGCGCCCGGACGCGATCCGTGTGTCAGACATTACATCGGCAGCACATTTTCCGCCTGCCCCTGCATGCCTCTTTAATGTTGGTTCCTATGGATCGCCACCGCAGTGATCGCCGCTCAGCCGACACCACCAGGTCCCACTCTGTGGCGCTTAAAAGCATTTCTTTGCACTAACGTAAAACTGCCTGGCTTATTGCCCAGAAGTTATTGCGCAACTGAACCTGTAGAAAAGTTAACCGAATATCTGTCCTGTGAGATTACCATTCTCTTCGGCAGCATTTAAGCATTCCTTATTGGTGAAAATGTAGGAATGCATGCGAAAAAAGCAGTTGTGCTCTCCTGTACTCACGGCTACGTGTTGCATGTCCCTACTTAAGTTTACTCCTACCTTTCCATTGGTAATCTGTCATATGAGGGTAATGACACGCGCTTTACGGGATGACACGCGTTTCCTTGCCATCAGTCTGCAGATCCCTTCTTATACCGAAAATGAACCACAAGCACTAACAGCAGGCTGTAAACACGTATTTTATAATTCTAAGACACTTTATAAAACCTCCATTCTCTAAGTGTGGGATGATCCAACCTTATCATTTGTTTGTAGAACTACTTATACAGAAAGAAATGTTCTTCATGTTGGCTCTGAGACTTTCTAGATGATCACTGGTGCATATGATGCAGGATTTAATTTGTGTTCACATATTGTAGACAAAAGTAAACTTTTGTAACTGATGCTTAAATCGTAAGCCTGTTGATTTTGCAGATCATGGTTCTTAATCAGTGGGCTATGACTGTCAGAAAAAAGGGTAAAAAGGTGTACCTTTGTATGTCGTGGGCTTGTACTCTCAAGGGTCTGCTAATTACCCCCTTAGCTGTAGGTAATTGTAGGTAATTGAAAAAAGACACATCCTCTGTCTTTCAGGTAGGTCTTTTAAACTGGGGCAGACCCACCACTGGCGTAAGCCTGGGCTAAGAGACACGTGTGTTACAGTCAGTGATTCAGCAGTAGGAAATCAGGACTGCAACTATGAAGCAACATGCGGCAAATGTGGTTTTATTTACGGTGCCTTACAGTGAGATATTTATGATATATAGCCAAGTTATAAGCTAAGAGCTCTGTACCACACCTCAGGGTGAACCCAGGGCAACAGGACACACAAAAAGCCCCCTAACTACAAATCAACACCGACTTACCCAACAAACCTCAACACAACATACAAGAAAACGGAGGGCAACTAAAACGGCACTTCGCCCCTACAAAGTACTCATTAGCAAGAGGTGCAGACAGCCAATAAACACCAAGTCCAACACTTGTCCTGGTTTAAAGGACTCCAAGGCAAATAGCACAGCATGTAAGTCTGAAGCTGCCCCAAGGGCAGGGGTGTCAGACTCCCGTCCTGGGGGGCCGGAGCCCTGTGTAGCTTAGCTCTCTCCCGGTACAAATGATTCAGCTCAACAGCTGTGTGATAATTAGCAGAAGGAGATGAACCAGGTGTGTGAAATGAGGGCGAACCCAAAAATGTGCAGGGCTCCGGCCCCCCAGGACTGGAGTTTGACACCTCTGGCCAAGGGGTTGAGGATTTCATGATGTTCTACATGGGGCAGCCACATAATTGGTCACAAATCATGCGGATACGACTGTGGCATGATGATTGGTTGGATGGATGAATGTTGGGTGGTCTTCCAGTGGTGTTTTCTGGAAAACTGCTCATCGATAACCAGGTTTGGCGTTATCTTACAGTAGGTAAAATTAACAATACGCAGCTGTTGCTATTGTCGTTTGGTTACTAAAGTTCTTATTATAGAACTCAGATTACTATTCATTTTTATACGATGAACAATCACCAAAAAAAATCACCTACAAATTATTTAATGTTAACCAATAAAACCTTATTATTAAATTACATCTCTGTGTTTTTTTTTCCCAATAAAAGGTTATTCTACATTTTGCAAAAGCAAACAGACAAGTGGACGTGACTTATGCACCCCCTCTTGCTCATTCCACTTTCCATGTTTGTCGTCGTTCGTTTGCTAAAAGTGAGTGACAGCAGTAACGGCCGTGGTTTGAATTTGCGAGCTTCCATTTGCTGGCCAGGTTTCCGCTGTTATTGTTGTACTGTAATACTGGGGCCACAGCTAAGGTACAAATGGGGTAATCCTCTTACGGTGCAGCGTTTGAGCCTCCGTGCGGGGGCGGGGTGGGGAGACGGAGTGAAGTTTAAAGCTCTTAGGATCAGATGAAAACAGTTTTGTACTGTTGATAGTGTAGGATGACTGCAAGGTTGTCAAACAGAACAGGCCTAAATCAGCGCCTTCTTCCTGATACCGTGCTTTTAGAAGCATTGCAGTTATTGCGTAATGCTGAATACTGACCTTCATGGGATCCTGACACGACTGAGAAAAGCATTTAATTCCTAGAAATTTAGGTCTGGTTTGTCTGGTTCCCGTCCCTTTGATTGACAGCCGGCAAATAAAATGGCGAGCCTGTGTAAAACCGAACAAATACTCTTTATGTTCTTGTATTCTGCGTTTACAGAGTTAAAAAAAAAAAAAACACGTGCTGACTTTAACAGCACAGCTGTGGTGACCCTGCTGGGAGGGAACATGAATTCCTGTTACCTGAGTGTCTGTGTGTTTGTGTGTGTGTGTCTGTGTGTGTGTGTGTGAGTGTCTGTGTGTTTGTGAGTGTCTGTGTGTGTGTGTGAGTGTCTGTGTGTGTGTGTTTCTGTGTGTGTGTGAGTGTCTGTGTGTGTGTGTTTCTATGTGTGTGTGAGTGTCTGTGTGTGTGTGAGTGTTTCTGTGTGTGTGTGTGAGTGTCTGTGTGTGTGTGAGTGTTTCTGTGTGTGTGTGAGTGTCTGTGTGTGTGTGAGTGTTTCTGTGTGTGTGTGAGTGTCTGTGTGTGTGTGTGTTTCTGTGTGTGTGTGTGTGAGTGTCTGTGTGTGTGTGTGAGTGTCTGTGTGTGTGTCTCTGTGTGTGTGAGTGTCTCTGTGTGTGAGTGTGAGTGTCTCTGTGAGTGTGTGTGTGTGTGTATGAGCGTGAGTGTCTCTGTGTGTGTGTCAGTGTCTCTGTGTGTGTGTGTTAGTGTGAGTGTCTCTGTTTGTGTGTAGAGTGCTTGTGTTTTGCTCCAAGTTGTTAAAAGGCCAAAACTGGAACTGCAAATATGTAACTCGTGCCATTTTTATACCACAGTTAATTTATGTTTTAGAATAACAAAGTGCGTAATGCATGTTGTTGGTTTGTAGAAAGAGCATCCAGGCAGATCTGGGCTCACTCGTGCGTGTGATTTGTAAAGGATTCACTTGGAAACTCTCGGACGATGTGTGTCAGTTCTAGTTACGGCTTAATCATCGATTGTGTGTAGCGTCGGATGGGAGGCGTTTCCATAGCGATGGGGAAGGAGAGCGGGAGGTGCAGGATAGACAGCAGAGCCCTCTGAAGGTACCGGAGGTGTTTATATTCAAAATAGCCCCATTCACATGGTTGGCTGCTTAATGGCTTCTCACTCAAAATTCAGGACAGGAAAGTACCGGAAACAGCTCGGGTCAAGGTGGCAGTGTCCTCTAACGTTTTCCCAAGGAGTTCAGACATGTAATGCAAGGTACTTTTGGTTATTTATTCCTCTTATGCACAAATTGGGGCAACATGGTTGCTCAGTGGGCAGTGCTGTTACCTCCCACGTCCAGGAATGGAGGTGTGTGTGTGTGTGTGTGTGTGTGTGTGTGTTTGCATGTTCCCCCCATGTTACATGGGTTTTTTTTCTGGTACTGCAGCCCAAAGTACATGCAGTCAGGCTAACTGCTATGTCTAAATTGCCAGTACTACGTCAGTGTGCAGTGCCCCATGATGTACTACGTCAGTGTGCAGTGCCCCATGATGTACTACGTCAGTGTGCAGTGCCCCATGATGTACTACGTCAGTGTGCAGCATGTAAAGTGTTTCCCGTTGATTGAGTTTGGTACACGAGGCGCCTTGTTACAGTAATTCACAGCACTGTGTGGGAGGGGCTTGGCTATGCTGCCAGTGTTTACAGGAAATATGGAATACACTGCAATTAACCTGGAATAAAGGCTTTGGATGGGGGGCTGGGGGAACAGTGAGGAGGGCAGGTTGTGGGGTGGGCAGAGATATTAGGTGTTGAGTCACCCCTTTTGTGCTCGACAATATGAGGAAGATTGAGAACTGACTCATTTAACCCAAAGGCTGAGCCAGACAGACCCTCACCACCTCAGCTTAAAATGTATGGCTTTAAAATCATCCTGATTAGACTATGGGTAAGCAGAGGAAAAGTAAACAAGCCTATATTTTAGTTAAAATTCTTTTTTATTTCTATACAATGCATAGTACCTCAATATTCTGTTTTTTTCAGGTAATCATTTGTGTACTGCGTACTTTTAAAATCGGTTTGCACTGCATTTACTTTGCACTGCATTTACTTTGCACTGTGTGCACTGTCACTGTCTTTGCACTTTGCCTGTTTGGCACTGTATGTATGTTCTTGCTGCTGTATGCACCAGAATTCCCTGCTGGGATCAATAAAGTGGATCTCATTTTTGATCTTAAATCTTACATTTTCTTCTTGCCCCTTGAAATTCAGGTCGCATTTATTTAGGGAGTTTTATTTCTCCTATTTAAGGATCCAGTTTAACATACAGGCCAGGGCTTCTTCAGGCTGTGGCAGGATATGTTCACATATGTCCAGGCTCTGTACTGGAATGAGCTGAGTGAACAGTGGAGTTTTGCCTCTTGTCCTGTCCTGTGTCTGCGATGTTGCCTCTATCCTGCCACCACCGTGCCCGGCTCTGTCCAGCCCTGGGGGTCGGCACTGCCGACGTTGTGCAGCTCCTGAGGTCGGCTGGGTACAATGGTCCCCTCTATGAATGGTTCAGTCCAGTGACTGGTGTCCGAAACAGAGGCCTCCTGTCCCAGAACTGTGGGGTCCAGATGGCCAGTCAGAGAGAGTGGTCTGGCACGCCCGGCCCACCTTCCCGCTGGAGTTGGTCTGCCCCGGGGGCCGTCTCACTCTGTGCCCTGTGGTCCATGAGAGGCGTGTTTTAGAACCAGCGCGCAGACTGGTCACCCGTCCTCACTCCACTGGTGAAATTCCTCTCCCGTTGATGTTGAAAAGATTCTGCTGTTCTCTACTAGGTCCTGCCGTCTCTCGGGGGCATAGCTGAGCAGCCTGTAGTTCCGGGGGGGGGGGCTGCTCGGGTCACTTGGATCAGGGACGCTACATCTGGCACAGGTGAGGTTGACCTCAGAGGAAGGCAAGATGTTTATATTGGAGGTAATGGGATGCAGGGTCTTACTGGGAGTGATTCACAAATGCAGGAGGCTTCTTGAAGCTTCTGACGTATGAGCATTCAGCAAGAGAGAAGGACTCTATTTTTATGGTTAGCTGTCTTGGTAAAAATCTTTATTATGTTACTTTATTACTGTGGAGATGATTCTTGCAGAGTAATTGATGATAGAGATGTGGGTTTAGCCACAGGCCAATCTATTCTCCCACAAGGAGCCTGTAGTTTTTTGTTCTTTAAATATCCATCCATCCATCAATCCATCTTCCAGCCACTTTGTCAGGGCTGTTGGGGGGGGGGCTGGAGCCTATCCCAGGCAGCACAGGATGCAAGACTGGAGAAAGTCATGGATTGGGTGCCAGTGATTCCCTGAATAATTCCTATAAAGTAATTTATTTAATGTTTTATTTTTCAGTTGTGTGTGAACATGGGCGTTTGTCACATTCTGAAAGGTTTCTTTTGAGTCTGTCTTTCAAAGACAATCGAGGGTTTAATATCTGATGTCCTCGCTAATTCCTTGTCTATCGGGACACCACGTCTCAGACCTATTAGTACTGTTTGAGAAGTTTGTGGTAAAGGGGGGACCGTCCCTGTTTTTGCACACATCACAGCGCCTCCCCCTGGTCACACGCAGGTAAGGCGCAGGACGCCCTTTTTTGCCTGTCTCTGCACTCTGTTGCAGCGGTACGGTTTACCACAGCAGTGGGTGACTCTGCGTCTTTGTCTGGTAACGAGGTGGCAAGGCCCCTGGCGTGTCACCATGGCAACCCCCGTCATGGGCTGTTCCCGCGAAACGTAATGCTATTACTCGCTACAAGCCAAATTCATGAATCTGAACAGAATAAATGAGCAGAAGAATAAATAAGTGTAACAACGGTAGCCTGTGAGCCAGCGGAGATTTCGCTAATCGTTGAGTCACCCATGATGTGTGATTGCTGACAGTATGAGTCTGGTGCTGTATTCTCATTGGTCGAAACATCAGCACCATGTTTTGAATATCTGCCTTTGTGAGTTTGAGGTCGGGAGCAGGTGACGGGGATCTTAATGCAACGCAATGGAAATCACCCAGCCTAAAAGCCAGCTTGTTTACATATCATTTCCGGATGGTTCTCTGGAGAGCTCGGACAAGTCGGCGAGGTTTCCGCCTGTGGACGAACGTGTCGCAGCTGAACGAATCACTCTGTCTATCTTGCAAGAAGCCCACGCCTCTGCAGACATGATCACAGGTACAGAGACTCCACGCGGCAGCAGAGCTTTGTGGGTAATACAGCCTGATTCTAACCTGCTACACTGAAGCTGTCTAAAAACTTAAGGAAAGCCATGAGCTGGAATTGACTGATGACATACGGAGTGCAGTCCCATAAGCAGCCAATAAGAATGCCTCAAGCTGACCTTTAACCCCAGTAACAGATTAGCTGTGACTAACAGGCATACCTCTCCTCAAAATGATGGTATGTCCAGCTGACTTACCGTAGTAAAATAATGGCATCTGCTGAAAGAAACCTTTAATGCAGATCTAGTTTGGTTCATGGTTTGTGGTTCACGGTTGGTTCCTGGTTTTGGCCCTGAAATAACCAGGTATGGGAGAAGCTATTGGTTTTGTCATAAGGCTCATTTTAGGTTAGACTTCTAGTTCATTGTCTGTTTCTCTGGAAACTTTTCTTAACTCATTTGTAATATAAAATGTTCAGTGTGCTGCTTTTTTTTTTAGTGTTGCTAAAAACGGCACTCATTTAGGTCACTTGTGCCCTGCCATTGATTAAAACCTGCCATTTTCTGCGTGCCATCTTCAGGGCTGGATTAAGAGCATTAAGTGGCCCTAAGTAACAGCATGGTGGGTCACAGAATCCTGAAATGTATCTAACATACGGAAACGTTACATTGGCTCTTCAGTGTGCCATAATAAAAGAACAATAAATAATCATATTAAATATACAATTATATTAAATATTCTATATCTTAAACTGCACTAATTCATGAATGGAACCGGAGCAGGGTGGGATTATGGGGACTTGCCCTGCTTGGTGCCCCCAGGACGTGCCAGCCCCAGGACGTGCCAGCCCCAGGACGTGCTGCCCCCGGGCACGTGTCCAATGCCCATATGGTCAATCCATGCTGGGTCGTCTGCTTGATGTGTACAATCTTCTGATCCCTTTGTTTTTTTTTCGTGGACCAAAGAAAAACATTTTAAGGCTTCTTTCTCTTTATTTTCTATTTATTTCTGGCTTTATTTTTTATTCCTTTTTTTCTTTCATTTTCACGTTTTGCTTGCTGTTTCCACACGAAAGCGTGGGGAAGTAAACTGAGACCTGCTGGGTCTCTGGACCGTAAAATGATCACGTAGGATTTTAGGACGTGGACACATGAGAGTTGTACTATTGTCTTACTGTTTTATTTGGAAATGAAATATCAATGAAACATTAAATACACGATTTGGAGTAAGCAGGGGGAGGGAAAATCCCAAACAGCAGATTGCATAGTCCTGCATTTCTGTCTGTGGATTAAATTCCAGATTTGTGGCAACCGGTGGGTGATTATGGCTTGCCAATCGTTTAATTGCTTGCCTAGGGAGGGGGTGGGACTTAAAAGGTATTTTCGAAGCTATTGGCCAGTACTACTGCAGCAACTGGCCAATATGTATGAAGAGTCGTGCTTTTGAGCCAATAGTACTGAGAGCCTCGGTAATGCAGGGGCAGGCGGAGTTCATGGTCCCGCGGATCAGCACACAGTGAGGACATGGTGCAGGGCATCTGTCCAGGAATTGTGGGGCCATTATGCATATTCAGTATTGATTGTGCAGAGGGAGCCCAGATAGTGGCTGTTTACTGGTGGACTGGAGTGACAGTACACATTTTGGCAGGGGAAAGGCAACAAACACCGAAAAATAAAACATTTGTGGAATAAATCTAATTTAAATCTGACACCAGGTTTTGATGGTATTATCTAGGCAGAGAGTATGAAGGTCCAGCTGCACCGGGGGGCCAGGCTCCGGGGGGTCCAGCTGCATTTAAATGAGCATGTCTGCTGCCTGATGAAATGAGTGTGTAAGTGTGTTGGTGTGGGTTGCTGGGGGGGAGGTGGGGGCTGGGATTTAATTAATTTGTGGTGGAGACAGGATTGTAATGGTTTGTGGGATTAGAGAACGTGTGTCTCTGCAGCTGCATGAGCACACTGCATGCTGTATGAGCACACTGCAGCTGTATGAGCACACTGCAGCTGTATGAGCACACTGCAGCTGTATGAGCACACTGCAGCTGTATGAGCACACTGCAGCTGTATGAGCACACTGCAGCTGT